AAATTTCACCTCAACCCAAGTTCGAACACCCAACCTCCGGATTTATAGCCCAACGCTCTACCATTGAACCACAATGCCGGTTATAATCGTCAATCAGAGCATGCAATTAAGAATCATCAGAGACATTGGAAGTAATAACAGTATAACGCCATATGTAAAACACAAAGTCTTATTCACTCGGATACGTGCTCCACTCGTTCGCCAACTCGCTTGTGTGCGAGAATTTTAGATGGGAATTAACAATGCAGTGGACCGTATCGACAGTATCCGCGACTTTTCCTTACCCTACCGATCACGGCTGAGTACGGTACTTGATGCGACACCGTTGTCTTTTGGCCTTGAACAAAACTCCTAACTTTGTACCCATATTCGAAAACATAAACATTTTCAATGTTAAAATTTGAGTCAACTGCGCCAGTACGCAACATAGCAACACCAAAACGTACTCGTACCAGTGTTGCCAAGATTCGTGAGATGGTGCCACAATTATGCACAAATGTGAGCGAGGACATTTTTCCAAAAGAATCCATCTCTGCATTCTCCGCTATCGTAGTTGTGGTGGACATTTATCGGATATTGTTTTTTATTCATCTGTGCCGTGGTCAACAGAGATACCACCCGCACACCTGCCGATTCTGCCAAAAAGTGCATACTCTCATTTCCGGCTAATTGGGATCAAATTTGGTACACATATTCTTGGACATAAAAGGAAAAGGAAGTTGAAAAAAAAGTAACTCTTTTCTTTTATCTTTGGAAAATGTTACGCTAATAAAGCGAGTAGATACGTTTATCACTATTATTATTCATATTGTATTTAACACCCAACATTTAATAATGCATAGGTCTCAACCCCAAAAATAATGACATGATACCCTGAATAGGAGAGTTTTTCAATTTATTAAAGTAAATCTATAAGGGGGTGGGGGCTGTTTACGAATAAGCATAGAGTTGATTTATTTCATTTGAGTTTGTATTTCTGTAGTGTTATTTTTCCTTTTGGATTTGTTTGTAATTTATTTATTTCGATTTGTTAATTTAATGGTAAAACGTGAAATTGCGTATTAAATTGTAGAGACATCTAGTCATTTCCGATAAGAGATTTCATTAACAGGCGAAAATGCACATCTGACCCACATAAGATAACGCACACGTTTTGATACTGACTATTCAATTCATCTAACATTTGTCACATTTCAACCAGTGAAATGTCTCGATTTCAAATTGCTGCACCAATGGGAACGAATTATAGTGATAA